AGCACACACCTGTCACTGAGGCTCATCACCATGAGTTTGAGGCCAGCTTGACCTACCATGTACAAGGCCTGTCCAAACTACATAGTGAGACTCAGTCTCCAAAAAAAAAGGGAGAAGGGGTGTGGTAATGAAACATTTGCACACACACATTCTGAGGTTATCTAAAATTTATCATTCTAGTTTCCTTTTCTATGCCTTAAATAAGACTTTACATTTTGCAGGAAAGCAACAGGTAGTTGGGCATGGTGGCACACACCTGTAACCCAAATATTCTGGGAAAATAACACAGAAGGCTGATAATGTAGCTCAGCTGGACGGCCCTGGGTTCAATCCCTGGGGTAGGGGGCAGAAGGTAGTTTCTGGTGCTTTAGAGAAGAGAGGCCAGAAGAGAATTTACCTACAATTCAAAATGGATAGGATAGGGGATGTGCCCCAACATCACAAATAAATAAAGACATATGTGTTTTAAGTAATCACTAAAGAAATAAGCATACCCCCCACCTCCCGGCCAAAAAAAACACTACCTTACTTACACATAAGTGTTTTTTATAAGTGGCTAAGGAAAAAATACTGGTCTGAAGGTCAGCAGACAAGTTCTCGCTTTAACACTTCAACAGCAGATTAGCAATTAAAAAACATTCAGTGTACTGTCTCAAATTCACTTTCCTACACCAATAAATGAGGTAATACACCACAAGAGTACTAACCACTACAGAATCACTACTGTTTACTTCAGTATTATCAAATGAAATGAAAAATTCTTGTGAAAATGGTCCATGAATTTTGAAGGTCTATATAAATATTTAATATTTATAGTTTAAAATCCAGCTGTTCCTCTATGCCTGTCATTGCTATTTGTATATACACAAGTAGTTTTCTTGAAATAATGTAGAAAAATTCCTGCCAGGCATGGTGTAGACATCTGTAAGCCCAACACTTTGGAGGCTGAGGCAGGAGGATTGCTGTGAATACAAGGCTAGCCTATTCTACCAAGTGAGTTCAAGACTAGCCTGAACTGCATAATGAAACCCTAATTCAAAAAGACATTTAAATAAAGTTACTGGGTTGACATTTCACTTAGTATGCCAGATTAAAATCAAGAAACTGGACAGGGGGATATAGCTCAGTGGCACACATGTCTGCCTGCACAAGGTCCTGAGTTCAATTCCTGATACCAAAAATAAATAAAAATCAAGAAACTTTTAATGTACTTCCTAGGACTGAGGATGTAGTTCAGTGATGAGTGCCTGCCTCTGGTTTTTATCCCACGACAGCCACCCTCCAAAAATAACTTATTCCCTTGGCCAAGGTATAAAACACTTATGATAAGCCTGTTTGTATAGATTTCCAATGTGTTTGCTTACATTTACTTCAAAACTGCTCTGGTTTACACTTACCATAAGTATTCTTCCTGGACACGACTTTTATATGAAGGTGAAGAGGATTTAATGTCCACAATAAAGACTTCACCTATCACCTCCAACAGTGGTTCATGACGCGGTTACATCCAAACTTGTCCAAGACAACACAATGGAATGAAACAGGCACAATACTGTACAAAAGTTGGATGCCTAAACCAGGTATGGTTGCTGATGCCTGTAATCCCAGCACTCTGGAGCCTAAGGGAGGAGTAATGCTGCTTCTCCAAGCTCAAGGCCATTCTGGGCTACACACTGAATTCAAATCCAGTCCTACAGTGTTAACAGAGTATCTCTTATACAAAAGTCAAAAATGGCACCTACACAGGGGAGTCCTAAAAACTGCATTACCCAATTCTGCTCTGCAAACTAGGTAGGGGAAACTACACTTATTCCATACGGCCCATTAACTGAAACAGCATTAGAAACTCACTGGCCTATACTCAAAAGAATCAGGGAACTAAATGCTTTTAAACTCATTAATAATTTATTCATTTTCCCTCATAAGACATGCATTAAGGAATTAATTCAAAACATGCTCCTCACCCTTCACTAACTCAACCGTGTTTCTGTGTTTCAAACTGACAGCTTTCAATGACTCAAAAGAGAATCCTGGCACTCATATATTTAAGAGTGAATCAAAAGGGCACACTAAAACTCTACTCCCATGGAGCTAATCTCAACACAAAATTTGGGAAGGGGCAAAGCAAGTACCACAGAAGCCCAAATATGATAAGTTCACCTCTCTGTGCGCCCCCCCCCAGAAAGAGAAACGTACTCATTGGCCTCACTCTGTAGTTTCTACTTTTCTACACAGATGTGGTTAGTATATATAGGAAGTGAGACTTGGTTCCAAAATACAGACAAATGACTACAAATGACAAAAAACTATTTCTTAGACAACCGATGTTACACAGATGACATACTACACTTAGGGTGAAGAGCCTTAAACACAGCTTAGCCTTTCTTCCAGTACCATTAAATAATCTATAAAAATTCATTTAAATGCTCCAAGATAATTAAATGAGGATAAAGGTTAGGGGACAGGTTCCATACAACAGGCAACATAAAAGATGAAACTTGCATAGTGGCATAAAAAGAACAACTGGAAATCCAACCATATCCAAGTACCCAAAATTTGTATCATTTCAATGTACTGTTTTTCTCCTACACCTCACACAAGTGTTTAGGGACTAGTAACTGTGACATCATCTTGTCACCACAAACAAAATGGAATCATAACACTCAATAAAGGACTGGACATAAAGGCTAATTTCTAGTGACTGTCCCTCCTCTCCTTTCCTGTCCCAACAGTCTTACAAAGGACCTTCTTAACCTTGTATGATAATTTCCTTCCCCTTTAGCCACAAAACAGTTAACTAAGTGGCTTTATCTAAACAGTCCTATGATCAAAAATCCTCAGCACTGGACTTAATGGTACATGTCTGTAATCCCACCAACTGGGAAGCGGAGGCAAGAGGATCTCTGAGTTATAAGCCTAAACTACATAATGAAATTCTGTAAAATCATAAGCTTTGAAATCAGTTTCGTTTTGGGTTTTTTTTTTTTTTTTTTTGGGGGGGGAGGCCTTTCCCTACCCTCCTTTTTGATTATCACAAGTTTAGGCTGGGTCTAAATCCTCACAAACCATAAAATACTGAAATGTAATCTCAAATTTCCTCCCCAGGGCATTAGATTAAGAGGGGGACTTATTTGAGACATAAAAAGGCAGACTTGCATTATGAGCACAGTTGTCTGATTTTTAAGTACCCTGAAATAAAGACAAGGCTGACCTTGAACTGTACTTTTCCACCCTATTCCCCTCCCCCTCCCAACAAGCTTATTCAATATAAATAGTAATTTAAAAATCAAGACAAAATTGAGTTCAGTATTCTTCCTTCATTTGGGTTATAGAAACCTTTTCTCCTGCTTTTTAGTCCCTGAATACTAATTTCTGACGCTACACCAAGTGTAAATCCTGAAGCTATTCACATGACCAAACTGACACTCAAGCAAAGGACCCTACACATTTTCAAAAATAAGTGTCTTAAACTAGGAAAAACCTAAGGATCAATGGCACTCAATTTCAACCATGTCTCATCCCATCCCACGAAAGCCATTAAGACCACAGGAATCTCAGACATCATTCTTCTCTAATACTAATTTAAAGAATGTATGGATCACTCACACATCTAGCTCCAAAACGTGGAGATTAAAAAATACAATTGTCTCGGGCTGACTAGAAAAACACAATGGATATTTCCATAAAGTTTCAAAAATGACTAAAAATCAAATGAATAAGGGGGGGAGGTAGCTCACTGTCAAAGGCTTGTCCTGCCCTACCCTGCTAGCCCTGGGTTCCATCCCCAGCACATACACACCCCATATGAGAGGAACAAAGAGAAACTACTAAAAGGTGTACATAAAATCAGGCACGTAAAATGGAAGAAAGAAAATAACAAAATCTCTCGCATTTACAATCCAAAAACCCCTGAAACTCAAATGAGTGCCTGAAATAGGTTAAGATCCCAAACTAGGAACATAGCTTCCAAGCCACCAACTGAAATAGTTACTAAACAAAATTTTGTAATTCTTTTTCAACAGGTCTTCTTGAGTCGTAATGGTGCGTGTGAACAGGACAGCCACTTTTACAAATGGGGAGACTGAGGTATGACCACTACAAAGGCTGTGCCTGGAAGAGTCATGGTCCCCTTGTCTCCTGGTTCCATATTCTATGTTCCACCCCCCAGAACCTAGTGCTTATGAAGCCAGAAAGCATCACAGCAACTTTCGGCATTTCCTAGTGTTAATCCCAGGAAAAGGCCGCGAGTAGGGTTCTTCTGGACATCCACAAAGGCAAGGCTGAATAAAACCCCAAACCCCTCGACCACAAGGGGTGCCCGCCGAGGGGTAAATCAGATCGCAGCAGCGCACCTCGCCTCCACCCAGAGAGACGCTGCAGTGATTCCCACTTCCCCTCCCCCAACCCCCAAGCCTGCCCACCACCACGAGCCCCAAGAAACCTCTTGCTTGAAAAGGCTCTTCTTTGTGAGACTCTTACGGCCGCCGCCCCACACTGGGCCTCCGGGGAAAAGCCACCGCCCCCACCCGCCATATTTCCCTGAAAGGCGCCCGCGCTATAGCTCCAAGTCTCCACTGCTTCCCATGTGGCGGGTGTTTCTTACCCCATCACCCTACCCAATTGTTCTTCACGCCCCAAGACTGTCCCAGAAGCTCCCCTGAGCACAGCTCGCCCAAAGACAACACCCGCCATCTCCTCCCCCTCCCCCGCCTAGGGACTCGCCCTCCCCTCAAGCCGCCATTTTACAACACCTCCTCCACCCTACTGCCCGGGCCTCTCGGCTAACGAGTGTCTGTAGCTTAGGACACTAGACAGGTCAAATTCCTGGGGCTGGAGCCTCCCATTGTGCCTGGAGCCCACAAGCCATTTCCTGCTTCCCGAATCCACGTCCCCAGGCCAGGCTCGGAAACGATGCCGCCATTTTGTCTCCTGTTCCCGGCCTCTGTGGGCGGCGGCAGAGGGTCCGACAATTCCAGCCCCCAGTTGCCCCCCCAACTTACCGTCATATCGCTCAGCCTGCTCGGCCAGCTTCGCCTGGTACACCAGATCCTCCCGATCATCCATAGCGGCAGCGGCTCCGGCAGGGTCTGCGCGACGGATGGAAGCGGATAACGTCCCCGACTCTCTCAACCTCTCGCTCCGTGTCCGGGCAGCAAAAATGGCGGCGCCTCAATCCGGGACTTCCGCCTGCGCACGCGGACAACTGCTCAGCTCTATGGCAACCGCTCCCTGGCAACTGGCGCGGGGGGCGGGTCCTGGAACTCCGAGCCAGAAGAGGCTGGAACCAGGGGAGCGCCCCTTTTTCCTTCCGCTCTGGTCGCGCCGGAACGCTGAGGCGGGAACTGTAACTGCAGAGAAGGAGATCCACCCCCAAGGGAGCCAAGGCGACTGGACACAGGGTCCGCGTAGACTGCACCTGAGGAGAGCGAGCAAGAAGAGCCGAGGCCACGACCGAGGGGTGTGACCTGGCCTGTGGGGAGAGAAAGCGAGAAGCATTTCCAATGACAGGCTTTCCTCACCAAAATCAGAGTACTGCTCCACTTCATCACTCAAGGACAGTCCTGGAACTTTTTCAGACTGTTAACCCGGGAGTAAAGAGTTGGACTCTGCTGTAGTTGGCAAGGAAGCAAGGGACTCCTGTTTTCGCTCCTCAACTTCTTTCTTCCACACTGATCTTTTTCTTCTTTAGCCTTCTTTCTGCTAAGATCCAAAATGAATACAAGCGGGAAATTTGTTACAAGTGCCTGGTCTAAAGTAAATGATATACAAGGGTTGGACCAAGATCAAGTTGAGATTCAGGAAGCAGGAATAGGGGACAAGGGGAATTGCTTCCCATGCCCTTGACCTTGTTTATTTTGCTGCTTAATGAATTCCCAGCACCTTTTACTGTTGCAGGTTGATGTCCTACTGTAGATGGAGAATACAAAGATAGGAATCAAATTATGAAAGGGCCGTGGATGACAAACTTAAGAAGATTGGATCTTGGGGCTGGAGATTTAATTCAGCGGCATAAGCGCCTGCCTTGCAAGCAGGCAGTCGTGAGTTCGATCCCCGGTACCGATAAAAATGAAAAAGACAAAAAAAAAAAAAAAAAAAAAAAGATTGGATCTTATTCTGTGTACACAATGTAGTTGTTTTATTTTGATGCCCAGGACTAAACACAAGGTCTGGAACATGTTAAGCATGTGTTCTTTGAGCTCCCACAACCAATGGAGCTATTGCTCAATGATTCTATAGAGAATGACACCTTTGTGGTTATAGTTGAGGAAAACTAGTAAGGATTGGATATAGCAGTAATTTAAAAAGATAAATTACCTGCCTGTTACAGTATTCCACACAAAAGATAGTAGCAACATAAATAGGATGAATAGAAAAATACAAGAGTTAATCAGATGTGGAGTTATATTATTTTTTTCTTTTAGACTGTCTCAGTACTATGTAATCAAGACTGAACTCCTAAGGTAGCCCAGGCTGATCTCAAACTCATAAACCTCCTGTCTCAGCTTCTTGGAGGGCCAAGATTACTGGCATGTGGCCTCATGCAAGTCTGAGATGTGATCGTCAGAGAAAAATAAAACAAAAATTGCCTTTACATCTGCCACCCCTGAATCACAGGGATGAGTAGCCATGGCATTAACAACAACAACAAAAGGAACGGAGTGTATAAGGGGCCTGCCTATAATCCCAGTGCTCTGTGAGGCTGAAGGCAGGATCACAAATTGGCAGGATCACAGCCTAGGCAATTTAGGGCAGCTATCTCAAAAAATTGGGCTGGGAGCTGGGCATGATGGTGCACGCTTGTAATCCCAACACTCAGTAGGCTGAGGCAGGATGATTGCTGTGAGTTTGGGGCCAGCCTGGGCTACAAAGTGAATTCAAGGCCAGCCTGAACTACATAGTGAAACCTTTTCTCAAAAAAAAAAAAAAAAAAAAGTGAGGGGAGCTGGGAATGGAGTTTGAGGCAAGACTGGGCTACATAGCAAGATCCCTTCTCAAAATCTAATAAATTGCCGGGCGTGGTGGCTCACGTCTGTAATCCCAGCACTCGGGAGGCTGAGGTGGGAGGATTGTTGTGAGTTCAGGACCAGCCTGGGCTACAAAGTGAATTCAAGGCCAGCCTGAACTGCATAGCGAGACCCCGTCTCAAAAAAGACCAAAAAAAAAGGGACTAGGGATTTAGCTCAGTGGCATAAGCACCTGCCTTGCAAGCGCATGGTTGTGAGTTCAATCCCTGGTACAGATAAAAAAAAAAATCCCATAAATTGAGCCAGGCATGGTGGCACACACCTATAATCCCAGCACTGAAGAGGCTGAGGCAGGAGGATCCTTGCAAGTTTAACACTAACCTGGACTACAAAGTGAGCTCAAGGCCAGCCTGAACTGCATAGCAAGACCCTGTCTCAAAAAGAAAAAAAAATTTAAAAAAAAACAAATTAAAATAGAGGACTGGGGAGACGTAGCTCAGTGGCACAAGTGCCTGCTTAGCAAGCACAAGGTCCTGAGTTTGATTCCTGGTACGCCCCCAAATATATATATATGTAGATAAGGTAAGCAGAAATATGAATACTCCAGCAGTCTCAGTCATGCACTGGTGTAGTTGATCATTATCTCAGGATTGGTCAGGTGGGGCCTTGTCCCCAGCTTGAAACATCCAAAATTGCTATTGCCTGGGGTTAGTTTCCACTCATCACAAAATGTTTGTGGATCAGATCAGACTTGTTATTCCTGGAATCCTAGGTGACTGCCACAGACAATGACCTAAAACAAAGCAGACATGCAAAATGCCACATTTTCTCTTTTTTTTTCTTTTTTTTCTTTCTTTTTTCTTTTTTTTTTTTTTTTTTTTTTCTTTTTTTTTTGGTACCAGGGATCGAACTCACTTGCAAGGCAGGCACTTATGTTGCTGAGCTAAATCCCCAGCCAAAATGCTACATTTTCATTCTGCTGTTTAGTTACCCACTGGACATTTGCAAATCCAAGTAAAGAGTCACTGTGCTTAGCAAAAGAAACCCTAAATGCTTATGACAGTACCATTATTTGCAGTCTTCAGTGATAAAAGACTAAGAATCGCTGGGGATACAGCTCAGCAACACAAGGGCCTTCCAGGGAAGCACAAGGTCCTGGGTTCTATTCCAGATACAAAAAAAAAAAAAAAAAAAAAAAAACTCAAGAGACTTGAATTAGGGGCTGGAGGTTTAGCTCAGCAGGCAGTCATGAGTTTGATCCCCGGTACCAATAAAAAGGAAAAAGACCAAAAAACAGAGACCTGCATTCTAGTCCTAATTTTCTAATTAAATGACCTTTAGCAAGTCACTCCATGTGCTTCATGCTCCTTTGTCAGGTAAAGTAATTGAGAAACTATATGTTTGCCTGCTTGCAAGGCAGGCGCTTATGCCGCTGAGCTAAATCCCCAGCCCCTCCAGTGTCTGTCTTTGCAGAAATAAAGAGGAGCTGAGGATTTAGTTCAGTGGCTCAAGTGCTTGTTTGGTATGCACAAGGTCATGAGTTCTATATCCAGTACCAAAACAAAACAAAACGAAAAGCAAAGAATCCAAAACAGACTTGTCTCTGAGACATACCTTCTCTTAAGGTAGTTGAAATAATGGGGGGAAAATACCTGAATATTTTAGGGCCAGGGACATAAGTGCAAGGTCATGAGTTTGATTCCCCGGGACCAAAAAAAAAAAATCCCTCAGCAGAAATAAACAGTATCTGCTGACCTCTAGAGAGCCTTTCCATCTCTGTAGGACATATCCCAGTACTTATAATCATGCCCCTACTCTTGAACTCTTGGGTTATGAACTTTTTTTTTTTTTCTAGTACAGAGGACTGAATACGAGGTCTTCACACTGAGCTATATCCCTGTTTTCCTTTTTAGGGGAGTACCAGGGGTCAAACATGACTTGTTGCTTGCCAAGCAGGCAGGCACTTGTGCTGCCAAGCTAAACCCCCAGTCCTCTATTTTTCATTTGGAGACAGGCTATCAGTAAATTGTCAGGCTAGGACTCAAACTTTCAATTGTCCTGCATCAGCCTCCCAAAGTGCTGGGATTATAGGTATGAGCCACCATGCTTGGTTTATTGAATGCCTTTAAACTTTAGTTTTCTCTCCTGTAAAATGGAGAGAAATTTCCCTTATACAAATGAGAATGGCTGGGCATGCTAGTGCATGCCTATAATCTCAGCACTTGGGAGGCTGAGGCAAGAGGATTGCTGCAAATTCAAGGCCGGCCTGGGTTACAAAGAGAGTTCAAGCCAACCTGCACAGCATAATGAAACCCTGTCTCAAAAAGGCAAGAGAGAGAGAGAGGAGGGAGATGACACAAAAAGCACGTTACGCTCAGCACGTGCTTTTTATGTTGGCTAGGTTTGCTGATGTTCCTATGGCCTGGAGAGCAGTCAGAAGTGAGCACAATAAATTACAAAGAGCAGCGTTTCACAAGTAAAGGGGTGGGCAGGGGTATTAAATTTTGCAGAGGCATCAAGTAAATTGGCGCTGAGGAAAAGCCACTGGATACAGCAGTTAGGTCATTAGTGACCTTCAAAGCAGTTTCCACAGGGCGCTGGAAGGCGGACGCTGGGCTGCAACCCCAGGAGTGGAGCGAAGGAGTGGTGAGCCAGGGTGCCCCCAGAACAGGAGCAACTCTGAGGGTGACTGGTGGGAACTGAGGTGCACAATTTCTGGGTATATCATCCCATGTTCGCAAAGCCCCCTCTCTACAAAGCTAACTTTAGGACAGTCAGCCCTAGGCTGTCACGGGCAGGGAGGCAATAGGAGCCACCTCCTGCTACCTCCAGGGTCTGCTGTTCCCCAGAGGGACTAGCAGTGTCCCCAAGAGGAGCATAAATGTCACCCACAGTGCTTCTTCCTGAGAAACCTCTGAGAAGGCAGAAATCTTAAACCTAAATTGATTCTCTGACTGGCTGTACTGTCTGTGCCCTCAATAAACAGAGCTAAAAGGGACAGGAATTGTTGACAGGGCACCAAACTGATAAAAAATTTTTTTTTTTTTTTTTTTGCTATAAATACACAAACAGTCCTGCAGCTGTACAGAAGTGGCCCCACAGCATGACGCAGCATTTGGCAGGGAACACGGCACCCTCTGCTGCAGCCTTCTGAGCAATCTCTGTCACTGGGTCACTGCTGAAGTCCACTTCTCCGACGGTGCCTAGGAACCCACTCCCATAACCGGGGACTTGCCCAACCC